AGGGACTTTGAACTGCCAAATAAGATGATGAAGAGCACATTTAAGCTCAATGACAGCACTGGCACAGAAAAAAAAACCCAGCAGAAATTCACTGTCAGTACAGGTCAGGTGAAGACTGAAGTAAACACAGGTGAGGTTAAGGCACAGGAGACAACACTGTTCCTCAATACCTACAATGTCCTAACATACAGACGTGCAGCAAGAAATAGCAAAGAAATAAATCAGGGTAAGGTACAATCCTGCACTGAAAACCAGCTATCAGCCAACATCACCTGTAAGGTAAATAAAATAAAGGTATTTTTCCTGACTCCTGTGACTACCAATTTGATAAAAGAGAAGCTCAAATATTTAAATAAATCATGACCCAATGCCAACCTTTGTCCACAGGATGTTATTTCCTCTACTACAAGTAGTACCTGAATGAAAATGAGGTTTAGTACTTGCTACTTGAGTATTCAGTGACATGGAGGTTTTACCTTGCAGCTCTTGTCAACTCCTCCATATCTAAAACTTAGGACTTGAAAATCAACTGAGACTTTACCAATTTGCAAAATAAAAACTCTCCAGCTGCAAAATGATTACCAAATCTGTAAGTGATATTAAATAGAACCCAAATGCAGCCCAAAGTCAACCTATCAAATCTACAGTTTGTAACCAACAAGAGAAAGTTTCCCAAGTACTTAAACCCCACTGTCTTTACCAGAAGGTGATGAAGACATTTCACAAGTACTGCTATTACTTTCTTAAAAATTCAGGAAACACCCTGAAAATATCATTATAGTTAAGTACCTTTTTCCAGGTGGATCTCATTTCCTTGCTTCATATTATCATGTGGATTACTTTTACTGGAAGTGTGAGTTTGTGTGACTGATATGTCTGAAACACCAAATACATTCATGTCAAGTGTCACCCCACAATGTTTCACTGATGAAGGGTGAAGATGGCAGAATCTGGGCTCCCATATCTGACTAAGCTTCTCAAAAAAGGCAGAATTCAAATATACCAAACCTTACTTGAGATCTGTGGATTCTCCACCCCTGGCAGTGTTCCAGGCCAGGCTGGATGGGGCTTGGAGCAACCTGGTCTAGTGGAAATTCTCCCTGCCCATGGCAGGAGGTGGAACAAGATCATCTTACATATCGTTTCCAGCCCAAACCATTCTGTGGTTCTGTGATCTCTGTTCCAGACCTAGAAGTACTTTTGTCCTTCAAAGAACCTCCATATCACTCTGAGCACAGAGTGAGTTGATACTTGACTCAGCCCTGAGCAAGAAGGTGGCCAAGGCTCCTATGAATGATGAGCTGCCACAGCAGCTGCAGAGTCTTTCTGATTGCAATCTGTGATCTATGAGTGCTTTTATGACCCACCAAGCTTCATCCACTGCTTCTTCAGCACCAGACTTATCACCACAGTCAGTCTGGCACCTGAGGCAGAGTGTGACAACTGCCTGCACTGAATTACAGGAAAGAATGAGCTTCTTATCCTGCAGGTACCTCCCGTTTTGGGCAGCAGAAGGAAAAGGAGGGTGGCCCTCGAGCTGTGCCTTTTGAGAACAAGACATTAAAGAGACACTAAAGCATCTCCTCTGTCTTCTCATTGATTTTTAGCTTTATCAGTCTTTTTCTACAGCCTCAATACCTCCACATTTAAAGCCAGACACACTGTTAAACACAGCTCTGTTAATAACTGAGCATCTCACTTCATTTCACAGAACAGTTTTACATCCACACTGGGCCAAGGCAACATCACAAGATGCCTCACACCTTCTCCCTCTTATCCAGAGACATCAAACTCTGCTGAAGGATTACACCAAGGCTGGATCAGCTTGGACAACTCCAAGCACAGCAAACTGTGACAGGGCTTGAAAGAGACAAAAAAAGCACTTTTAAAAAACTATAGATCTATTAAGAGCTCTTACCTGTATCTTTATGGGCCAAGTGAAATTGCTGACATAGACGAAGAATGTGATGTTCGGATTGTTGCGGAAGTCAAATTTCTCATTGGAGAAACTGTCCTTGTATTCCTTTATATTGGTTTTGGAAACAACTGGAATTTCCTCCCCAGCCTGCGTGCCAGCTGGTTGCAAATGCAGCAAAAGAAGATATTCAATGTGTATTTAAAATAACAAACAAAAGGGAAAATCATCCTGAATTCTAATGCTAGAGAATTAACTATTCCCTCAAAAACTCCTATTTGAAGCTGCATTCTATTATCAAAATCACAGTGTGCCAAAATACTGCATCATTAAAAACCAAATTTGCACCTTTGATGCTTCAAAAATACACTATTAAGAGAGAAAACACAGTTCTTTTTAACATTTTGCCTCCTCCCCCAGGCCCAGAGTTAAAGAACATTACAGAACAAGTACACAGGTTAAAAAAAATAAATCTATTTTCACAACTGAATTGGCATATGTCAGAAATTCATAATTGAAACAAGCTAACAAGCAACTTAGATCATCCTCAATTTACCTGCAAAACTTGTGGACCAAGTAATGTTGAGGTTGAAGTTTTTCGATGCATTGATGAACATGTCCAGGTCTCTGTTTTGCTAAGGGAAGGAAGCAAAAAAGAAACCTCATTTTTAGGAGAAGCAATTTCACTGTGCTGTTTCCTAGGAAATCTTTGCTACAAAAAAGTATCTTGGAATTTGTTTTTTATGGGAAGAAAATACATCAAGAAAACATATATGCTATATTTTCTGAAAGCAGTATTCTCTTGCTCAAGGAAAACATCATAAGGAATAAAACAAGCCAAGTGCATAGAATATCACAAGAAGAATTGAGACACAAGATTTGGGGTGAAAACCAGTAAAACATCTCTGCCCTGTAGCCAGGCTGGGAGAGCTGGGGGTGTTCAGCCTGGAGAAGAGAAGGCTCTGGGAGACCATCCAGCATCTTCCAGTGCTCCAAGAGAGCTGCAGAGAGACTTTGGACTAGGGCCTGGGGTGCCAGGACAAGGGGGAATGGCTTCCCAGTGCCAGAGGGCAGGCTGAGATGGGATATTGGGAAGAAATTCTTCCCTGTGAGAGTGGTGAGGCACTGGCACAGGTTGCCCAGAGAAGCTGTGACTGCCCCATCCCTAGAAGTGCTCCAGACCAGGTTAGACTTGGCTTGGAGCAACCTGGGCTAGCAGGTGGTGTCCCTGCCCAGGGCAGGGGCTGGAACTAGATGTTCTTTAAGATCCCTTCCAAACCATTCTGTGATTCTATGATTATATAAAACTGGAGTGACTCAGAGGTTGTTCAAACAACTGAAAAGAATGAACTGTGCTTCCTTATGATACTTTACTGTGAGGATTTGGGTCTGCACAGCCAAGCCAAGGTCAGAAACCTCTGGTTGTTTTGTGGAACTGGACACATCTGCCACATCATGAGAACTGTAACAACTCGTAACTTCCACAGCCAACAGGAGACAAACAAATACCCAAATGATGAAGTTGAAAGGGAAAGTAGCAAGTTTACCTCCTCAGGTGTTGCTACAAAGTTGATTGCTGTGTAATAGCGATCATCCTCCTGGGACAGGCTGAAGGTGAACTGATAGTCAATGAGAAGAGTATCTGTAAGGAAGGCAGGGAAACAGTTATCCCATCTCCTGGAATAAAACAACTTCTGCAAAGGAAGGCATGATGCCACTGAAGGGTTTCTTGGACAACTAGGAGTCACCCCACTGCTACAAATGATCCCAACCTACATATGATCCCACATAAGTGACAAAAAGCTCTTGAAGTTGAGCCTAGAGAGGGGGGAAAGAGGCAGCTTATATTTCCCAGGCAACAGCCTCCAGCCTTGACCTAAATCAAACTTCATACCTAAACACTGTATAAAACATGCCAAGACATTTACTTTTTTCAGTCTGCAATACTGCTACCATCTAAGGGATAGTAGGAAAATTAATTAGATATGTAATTCCCACTTGGCTGGGGACAAAGCTCCCCCCATGAAAAGTCTCTGTATGTCAGTGGACTTTACTGGGAGGATTTCTACAGAGCAGTTGGCTGCTGATGGACTCAGCTGCCATCCTACTCCCAGATACTTCCCACCTAGGTATGCCAGGATCAGTTTTTGGTCTACCTGTGTGCCTTCCTATCTCCTGTGTGCCTAGGCTGGGAGATAATCACCAGTGCACAGACACTTCTGGGATGCACCTACCGGTCTCAGCATTCTTTTATTGAAACACAGGATTATGACTTCCTGAAGCCACGCTGAGATATTCCTGACAGTCCTAAATATGAAGTTATACACCAGGTGCTATTTTTCCCTTATTGCCACCTGGAGACCCCTTGTTGGGCAGACTCAAGCCAGACAAGCTGCTGCTGTCTATACAGAACTCCTCAGAAGAACCAAGAAATCTTCAAGGAGTGAGTCTGGATCTGTACAGCACAAAGTTCTTCCTGCAAGAGTTGGAAGGCTCTGATTTTCCCCACTTTTTGCCCACTTCACCACCCTTGCCATTTCAGCAAGGAATCTGGTCAGCCTTGCACAATGATTGTCATGAGAAGCCACCAGTGGCCTCGTGTGGCCACAGAAGCAGAACTCAAGCCAGCCAAAACCAGCACATTGACCATTTCTGTGTGGCACAAAATCACTATCTGGGACTTGATGTCATTTAAGATCCATCTCTCCATGCCTCTCAGGCTGCTGATTGCTAATATTTGCAAATAGAGGCTGGAGAATTCCTACAAAGCAATCTGAATCTTGGCAAAAGACCTTCTGGAACTGCATGGGAATCCAGCTGTTCACTTCAGAGCAAATGAGGCAATTTTGAAGCCTATGCTAAGAGGGGCCAGAATTTAAAATAAATAGCATTTTGCACTAAAAATCCTAAAGGCATCACTTGGCTTTGGCTTATTTAGTATAAATATTCTCCAGAAAACCAGATTTCATCCCAGTCACATGAAAAACATTCCAGAGCTGGTTCACAAGATCCCATCATCACACAGACCTTATCAAGAGAAGTACTTTTGTTCTCTTTAAACAATACCTTCAAGAACACTGAAGTTGTTTAGAACTATTTTTTTAGCCCTTCCCTTAATCCTCCACATTTGAAACACACGCTGAGGCAACTAAAACAAGCTTTAAATAAGATATTTTCGACTTCAAGCACACTTTTTATCTCCAAACAAAATCCCAAGGGTACTCACAGTAACATGTTCCTTTAAGTGGATTTCCCTGATATCTATTTTCGACTTCACACCTAAAAAGAATACAGATTTTTCAATAAATGGCTTCTTTTTTTTGCAGGTCTATTTATTCCCAGCCACTAAATATCAGAAAACACAACCTGTGCTGATAACAACACAGGATTAAAGATGAATGTCTGAGCTATGCTACTGAAGAAATTCCATATTCCTTGCAAGCCAAACTATATGCAGCAAAAATGAAACATAAAATTCTGGATATTAACCTTTGCATCCACTTGGAAGGTATTTATTAGCTCTTCACAATGGAACTGGATTAGCTCAGTCAAGAATTAGTTTCCATTTACATTTATGGCTATTCCAAGATCTATCCTATAAATGTTTACTCATGTGAGCAATGCTTTAAAAATAAACCTGGCAATGAAATTATTTGGAATTAAATTATTTCCACTAACATTCCACTAAAAGCATTTCTGTTATGTTACAGAGAAACCTTCAGCAAATTTGTTGCTCTAAAACTGCTCCATTAAACTGCTTGAATGTCAAAGGCTCATTTCAGATATATTTACACTCCCCCAGAAAAGCATCAGAGAGCACAGGCAGTAAAATCAACCAATTAAAAAGGAACTACTGAGGGATAAAGAAAAGTGGAGCAAGTCCAGAGGAGGCCATGGAGATGCTCCAAGGGCTGGAGCACCTCTGCTGTGGAGCCAGGCTGGGAGAACTGGGGGTCTTCGGCCTGGAGAAGACAAGGCTTTGGGGAAGCCTTCCAGCCCCTTCCAGTGCCTAAAGGGGATCCAAGAGAGCTGGAGAGTGACTTAGAACAAAGGCCTGGAGAGACAGGACAAGGGGGAATGGCTTCCCACTGCCAGAGGGCAGGGATAGATGGGATATTGGGAAGAAACTGTCCCCTGTGAGGGTGGAGAGGCACTGGCACAGGTTGCCCAGTGCAGCTGTGGCTGCCCCGTCCCTGGAAATGTTTCAGGCCAAGTGGGATGGGGCTTGTGGAAATAGATTATCTCTGAGGTCCCATCCAACCCAAACCATTCCACAATTACAAAACTAGCTCATCTTTAAGGTCCCTTCCAACTCAAATAATGCTAGGATTCTACATGTATTTTGGGGTGTGGGGGCATTATTTTTTCAACTCCATGACATTCGCAGTTGAAATGCTCTTAAAGATGGAACTGTTCAGGAAACCATTGTGTTTGTGATATCCCCCAGGGGCAGCACAGCTGGCTGCACCCCCAATGCACTCAGTCAAGTGACAGCAGGAAGAGAAGAACAGAGACATCATAAACACAACCATTAAAAATCGGGGGAAGTTCCATAGTGTTATGAGCACAGATGTTTGATTTACAATACCAAAGAGAAAGGAACTCACAGTTGACACTCATCTCCTTTGATTCCCTTGGTTGTGCAGAAGCATTTCCCGGTGTTAGTGTTGCAGACGGATGCGTGGCCATTGCACTTGCAAGCTGTAGAGCAGAGGAGGGAAAAGATGCAACACTGAATGAAGCAAGAGAAACAGATTTCATAGCAATTAAGTCCTTTAGTTGCCAAACCGAGATACAACAACAATTAACGTGCACATGAAAACCCATTTGGTGCTCTTTGCTTGCTTTGTGCTACAGAAGGCAGCCAAAAATAGAAGCCTGCATCAAAACAGAGTGAGTGCAGGCTCCAGGACTGATGTTTGGGAGGAAATCATCATCAGACTGAGATTTTTTGCCTCAAAAATTTATTTAACTTCCTCTCTCATTGTGAGATAGCAGTGGGGATAGCACAACTGGGAAGGAAAAAGCAGTATCTGGAATAATTTAGGGCTTGCTAAAACATTGCAGCCAAACTCAAAACTCTGGAGAGAAGAATTTGGAAAATTAAACAAAGCTCGTGGTGCTTTTAGGGCTTCTTCTAGAAAGAAATAAATAGGACTTGGAGAAAATCATGTCATTATCTACAACATCAATATAAAACATCTGGTGCTAAGAAGATGATGGCCATGTTGAAAGTGGTTTGGGGGAGATTTTAGGATAGCTTCAGGCTGGTCTGATGAGCTAAATGTGGTGGCTGAAGTAAATCAGCACAGCCCTAGAATACCTCAGGTTTGGCGTATGCCCAAAATAGAGCAGATCACACACCTGAGCCTGCTCGAGATCCAACCCAAGGTACCATGGTGAAGACATAAGGGAGATTTGCTTCACAAAAATGCTCCTGATTCAAGCTAAATGCTAATATTAATACACTTTGAGGCCTTTATTCATAAAGATGTAGAGAAGGAACATGCAAAAAAACCCCAAACCAATAAGAACAAACCAAACACAACCAGCTGTCTTTGATACCATGTTCACTAGCACCTAGAACATCCCAGTACCTAGAAACGGAGTGCCTAGAACCCCCAAACACCCTCAGTATCTAGAACACATAGAACACTCAGTACCTAGAACACCCTACAGTACCTAGATCCCTCAGGCACCTAGAACACCCCAGCACCTAGAACATCCAGTATCTAGAACCCTCGAGCACTTAGAACACCTCTCAGGACCTAGACCACTCCAATACCTAGAACTCCCAGTACCCAGAATGCTCAGCACCAAGAACCCTCGAACATCTAGAACATCCCTAAGTACCTAGAACCCTCAAGCACCTAGACCACCCCCAGTACTAGAACACTCAATACCTAGAACACATTTTCCTGGTGTGTAGGTGACTTGCAGGAGATGGTCTACCAGTGAAGGTGCAAACAGCTGGAGTTGTGCATGGAAGAGTCTACAGTGTAAGAAGGAAAAGAGTACACCACGAGAAGATCCCTCGTTTGTGAGCCCTCAGTCTGTTGGAAACAGGATGCTTTCAAGGCCAGAGCAGCAGACACGAGCCACTCCATGTACCAGTAGATTCTTGGACATGGAGTCCCATCCTGAATATTCCTGCCAGCCTTGGACCTTAAATTAGGAATCCTTCTGATGTCTCCTTTCTGTTGGCATATAATGGAAACTACAATGCATCAGGGACACTTAATTGTGCTTCTCAGATGCGGGTGAGTGGTTTCCTAGCAGCAACACGGAGCAAAATAGGAAGAGGCATAAAGGCCCATTGTGGGAAAGAGGAGACTGAATGAAAATTCGACAAAATAATTGTGTTCTGTGAAGCAAACACACTTTTCATTAGTGGCTTTGAAAAAAAAATAACTCTTAATACTATTGAGAATGTCTTGTATTTCCTTCCTTATGCTTTGCACAAGGAAAGCAAAGGCAAGTTGGATCAATATTCAAAATGAACATATATGAAATTTCTCCTCATTTTTCAATTTCATGTTGTTTAATGGCAGATTGCAGCATCTTGAGCACTAACACTCATGTTTCTTCCCCTGCTCTTCAGCCACATGTGAATTGAGAAGGCTGAGTACCCAAAAATCTCTATTTAAAACAACAGAATCTATTTATTTATCCATTTTCCTATGAGAGAATAATCACTAAAGGACTGGAATATACACAAAGAGACATTTTCTCACAGCTTTTCAAAGAAGTCTGGAAACAAACTACTGACTAAACATACCAGACACCCTCACTGGAGTCTACAAACAACCATTTCCCTCTGGAGTCAGATGCTAGAGCAGAAACCCCAAAATTCCTGGAAATGGCTTTTGACTGTGAAGAGTGGTAACAGCCTGATGATGAACCACCTTACAGTGAGTCTTCTTTCACCTGCTCCACAATCCACAGGTCACAGACTCAGTCAGAGATGGTCATGAGGATCATTACTCCTCTTCCTGCACTTGTGGTGGTCCAGCATCCCAACAGCAACACCATCATCCAGCTGCCCAACACCATTTCTCTATGCCACATGCTTTAGCTGCCCTCCAAGGCACCCATGAGCCATGAGAGGGGGGAACAAGCAGGCACACAGTGCAAGCAGCTCATGGGCCACCAGCAAAGGCTCCTTGGATGCATTTGGAAGCTCTGCCGCAGTCACAATCTGATTTCAGGCATAATAGCACCATCCCCCGGCTTGCAAATAACTCCCTTATCTCCCACCAGCATATTTTCATGGGAAACTTTAATCAGAAAATTTAAAAAACTCCTGAATGCAGAGAAAGCACCTTGCAGCTATTTTTACATTTGATGTGCTGCATTTCCTGCCCTTCCTGATTAACACTTCTCTACTTGGACACTTCCTAACAGCAACCTCTGAGGAGGATTTACCTGCTATTTAGTTATTATCTACCCAGCTGTGCCCACACCAGCATCTATGGAAAGGTCCAAACAGCTCTTTCAGGGAAATAAATGCAGTTTGTTAAAATGTTTTCAGCACAAGTGATGTAACCTTGTGCTGGGACTTCTTACAGGGGTCTGTAGCAATAGAACCAGGAGCCATGGCCTTAAACTAAACCAAGGCAGGGGTAAATGACATATTAGGAAGGAATTCTTTACTGTGAGGGTGGTGAGGCACTGGCACAGGTTGACCAGAGAAGCTGTGGCTGCCCCAACCCTGGAAGTGTTCCAGGCCAGGTTGGATGGAACTTGGAGCAACCTGGTCTAGTGGAAGGTGTCCCTGCCCATAGCAGGGGTGTGCAACTGAGTGGTCTTTAGGGTCCCTTTCAACCCAAACCATTCCATGATTCTCTGATCCTATGACTCACACTAGACAGTATGGAAACACAGGGATGTTTGAGCATCAGGCTGGAGTGTACAGCAACCATATCTAGCATGGATGTGACCATGGGTTCTAAAACCAGAGCAGCATACACCATTGCTCACAAATGCACAAAAAGAGTGGAATCGGCACATTATTAATAGGGAAGGAAGAAGGGACCATGGCTCAGAGGGAGAAGGCAGGAGCTGGCTCTACTGCCCATCAACCAATGCTTATCTGAAGAATTCCCCTCTGCAAAGTTTTTCACTGAACAAATGATGACTAATGGGCAGCAATCACCCTGGCTACAGCAGATAGGATGATGTGTTCTTGCTTTCCCTCTCCTGCTCCACCTCAGCCTTTCTGCCCAGCCTCCTGCTTCTCTCATTCTTCCCTCTTCCCAGTAAACAGCGTTAAACCCCAGCAAATGAAAACCCTGGGCCCAAAGCACTGGAGAGCAAAGCACTTCTGACATGAGCTACTGGTTCCATCAGATAACGACCGAATGCTGCTCCACAGTCTCTCAACACATTTTCTCATTTCTTTTTCAGGCATTTGGATGATTTCAGTCTGTCATTCATTATCTCAACAACAAACTATTTTGGGACAATCCTCATGTGGAAGACTCCAAAGGAACTTACTCTCCATTTCCACATGCACGGCAAAGCAACAGCTACCAACAGGCACGTTGTGATCCACTGATTACACCTGAGTGCTCAGTAGGATTCTCTATTTTCTCAGGCAACTCTGCCTCAATTTATTCGCTCCTGCACTTCAAATTATCTTCACTTGAAATGAGTTTATGAGTATCAGCAGTATTTAATCTGGCAGATAATGTTGGGAAATGAAGTGTCAGAGATGCACCTTCTCCTTTGTAACCTGTGATGCTCTGCTGTCTGTTGGAATTCCATATCCCAGATACTGCAACTTTGCTACTGTGGCTGCCCCATCCCTGGAAATATTCAACACCATGTTGAAACTATATGGTCTTTAAGGATCTTTCCAACTCAAACCATCCTCTGATTCTGTGATTAAAGCACTTGAGAGCACCAAACACATTACCTTACATCTGCACATCATCTCTCAGCTGGATTCTGGTACAATTGGTTTCCCCATGCTATAACACTACACATTTCACAGCAGTTCAGAACGATGCCACGGGGCTGCAGGGCAAAGCTCCAGGTCTTTCATGTTCACTTCTCAATATTAACTGTGATGGTCTTTTAAGGAAGACTTTTTCACCAGTTTGTTAACTGGATCTTGCACAACTGGAAGCCGTTCTTTGTGTCAAAGAGTCCCAAAAACACTTTACAAACTTACAATGCAATTTTAACAGGGTTCTCCTAATCCTCAACTGAACTCCAGCCAAATCCTCAGTGAAACATGGCAACCCTTATGAAGCAGACAATTATAACAATACACACACCACACAAATGGAACAGAAGGTGGAACCCAGATAAGCAGGAATTTGTTCAATACATTGGGATTAACACTGTTGCTTTCCAAAACAGCATCATCAAACACTAAAACACAGACATTTTTCAGTGCGGTCATTTTAAGTTTACAAAGGAGGGTGAAAAATCATCTTTATGTGCAAGGAAAGTAGTTTCAGTGTCTTTCATTTGAAGAAACAAAGATTGAGCCTCGCTTGCAGGAAAGAAAACAAGTGTTATCAGGATATAATTTGAGATAGCAGAGGAATAAGAGTGAAAAACATCAAAGGGCTGAGGACAGGATGATGCAAGGCAGCACTTACGCTGACATGTTCCCCCGTTGGTAGGATCCCCATAGTAGCCTGAGATACAGGTTTCACAGTGTTTGCCAGTTGTCAGGTTCTCACACTTCTCACAGATGCTCTCATTTACACACTTGCTGTGCCCATTGCACTGGCAGGCTGAAGGAAACAGGAGAAATGATCAGTATCGCTGCTCAAATTTAGCTCGCAGAGACCCTCAGGAGTCTTTGTGGTGCAGACATCCAAGTCTCATGTCTGTGTCAAATATCCTCAGTCCAGTGAGGGATAATTGTGGGGGCCTTCATAAACCGCACAGCAACAAGACAAGTACACAGTTATGCAGTGTGCATATATATATATACATATATATATATATACACACACACAAAACATGTATATAGGACTACTTGTATAGTTTGTGTGGCCCACCTGAGAAAAACTTGGGACACTGCTACTTAAGGCCTTTGGGAGAGGTCCTGAACATGCGTAATAACACTTGAAAACCATTCACACAACGTCCTGTGGTGACAAGTTCGAAAGCTTATCCACACATTGCTTCATTTTGAACCTGCCATCTAATGGCTTTGCTCAGTGCTCTCTTCTTACATTAAAAACATGTGAAAAATTGTTCCCCCTTCACATATTTGATGTCAGTTTTAAAGCTTGTGATATTCCAGAAGACACCTGGCTTTTAGGCTAAAGAGTTCCAAGGCCTTTGAGGTCTTTGCACCGTCCTTGCCACCATGTTCTATTCTTCTTTTTAAATCCATCCCCAGAGAGGTTCTTGTAGTCTGACTAGTAATAAATGAACTCAAAGAGAGGTGGATATTGAAACCCTCAAATTTAAGGCAACACACAGAAAACCATTATGTTTTGGACAGACAGGACTGGAAGCTGCTGGGGGGATGGATTTACAAAGAGGAATGGGGAGGAAAGGCTTTACCAACATTTCAAGTCATTTCATTCTATAGGTTTTGTGTCAAAAACATTAGTTAAAAATCACTCTGAGCATTACTAACAGTTAAATCAACCTTCAAAGGAAGAACTGCCTTGCTTTCAAACAACCCTAAAAAGAATAAATAAACGAAAGTTGAAGTCTCAGTAAGGGTTTATGGGGAAAGGAAAACTTTTGCTAGAGTAATGCATAATTAAGTTTTCATGGAGCAGATACCTGCACAACTCCTTCCATCTCCAAGTGTGTATTTCCTGATTCCTCTCTCCATTAACAGGAGGCAACACAGACACCATCATAGCCTTAAAAACTCTCTCCCCTTGCCCTGAATGGAAATGAAACAACTAAACACTGCTCCTTTACCTGGACACTGAATGAAGGACCAGTTATAGCTGTTCTCCACAGGACACATGCTGACATTCAGGACTGGCTCCAAGCTGTGTTTCCCTGTCGTGGATGGGGTTGGCATCTTGATGGGACCTCGGTAGGAGCCTTCAATGCACTTCCCCTTCCCAGTGTTGCTTGGATCCGTGCACCACCCACAGCCAGGCTGCTCCAGGCAGTGAGCACATGTGCAGTAGCCTGAGCAGTTCTCAGCTATAAAAAACATCCCAAAAACATGAAATTGTAGAATAAATCTGTTTCACAGCACAGGTGACAACAAACACAGAAGCCCTTCCGTGTCTTTTGTGACCTCAAGTATTTATCTCGCCAAATCTGTATTTAATCTGATAGTCACAGTAATATATGTTTATTCCTATCAGCATATTTATTCCAGAATGGAAGAGAACTATTAACAACGGTTCCATTAATCAGTGAGTTATGAAACAACACGACACACGGAAGGTTTTTCGACCCATTACACAAAAAGCAGAGGTTAATGTTCCCACTCCAAAACATCTCCCACTGATTTACAACGGATCTGATGACAGAATGAGCCATCTGGAAGCACAGGCTAAAAAACAGCTTGTTGACTTGCTTTGAGTCTCTTTTTACCACATGTTTTAGTATCACATGCTATTATTTCAAGCATTTATCTGAGTCAAAAAGCACAGAATACAAATACAGAAATAACCTCCACCTATTAACCCTTCATTTCTCTAATGGGATCAGATTTCAGGGGTGACAAACTCTACATACACAAAACTTTTTCTATTCCTTTCCCTAGACCATCTTAAACTTGATTTTCTAGATTTTTGATGTTGCAAGATGAGCAGGCTTTCCACCTCTATGTTTAAATTGACAATATTTGCCTTTAAAAAGGAAAAAAAGTAGTAAAAACTTTTTTCCCCATTATTTCAGCTTACTCATCTCCTGCCTGATGCTTCCTCCAACTTTTGACCCCTGGCAATACGGGAAGTTCACACTCTCATGTTTGACTGTTCCTGAAAGTAATTTTCTTCATCTCCTATTTTGCAACACTGAGCTACTACTAACTTGTCTGCTCACACTCAGCTACTAAAGAATTCAACATGAATAAAATAATGCCTAAATCTTCATTTAAATCTTTAGGCTCTTTCACCCCAGTCTGAAAATAAAAAGCAATATTCCAAAGCACCATAAATCTATTGCAGTTTGCTCACATCTACCTAAAAGGGGTAAAAAATAAATCATTGATTTAAAATAAATCAGAAATGTCTACTGTGGGCTGTAAGTAGAGAATACTTCAGGGTAAAACAGCAGTGTAAACCCTAATTTGGAACTGATAAAGCTAATAACAGAACCATGGAACGGTTTGGGTTAGAAGAGACCTTAGAAATTATCCAATTCCACCCCCCTGCCATAGGCAGGGACACCTTCCACTAGACCAGGTTGCTCAAAGCACCATCCAACCTGGCCTTGCTCCTTTCATTCAGAGGATTTTCAGTGTAACCCATGTGCACTTGGATGACTTCTACTACCAACACACAAGTCTCTAGCCCACCCATGGAGACACCCAAGCAATTACTCACGTGGACAGCTGCTCATGGTGTACCACTCCATGCACTGTCCATAGGGGAACGAGGCCACGTAGGCATTGGAGTCAACACACTGCTTCATGTTGCTGCACCACATGCACTCAGAGCTGCCACTGGTGCACTCCCCACACATGGTGCGCAGGGCGCAGGGCGTGCGGCACTGCTTGGCGCTGTGGTTGGCTGTGGAAGGAGGACAACAGTTAGTTCTCTTCCAGAAAGAATAATGGAATGGTTTGGGCTGGAAGGACCTTAAAAGTCATCCCATTCCAACCTCCTGCCATGGGCAGGGACACCTTCCACTAGACCAGGTTGCTCCACCCCCCCATCCAACCTGGCCTTGAGCACTTCCAGGGATGGAGCAGCCAACAGCTGCCCTGGGAAATGGTGTTATGAGTATGGTCTTTATCTCTCTGCAGGTCTGCTGACATGTTCCTTACTTATCCTCCCCAGCAAAGCACTGGGAAGAACTCCCATGTTTTATATGGGCACACTGGGATGTGTTCTAAGTTATTTGATCAGTTCCACACATAAAATGAGCCCTGAAAGCAGAACTAACTTAGGAGTTTTCAATGTAAGCCAATGCTTTATGATCTGTTTCAAGTGACTGCTCTCAGACCATAAAAAACAAGTTAAAGCTTAAACCCACTCAAAGTGCTGCAAGTGAAAACACACAGAATTCTGAGTTCAGGTGCCACATTCAGGACCTGCATCCTCTACTTCCACAAAGAATCATTTCAAGTGGTGTAGCTTAGAAAATATATGCAATCAACCAACTTTCTCAATACCTAAAGAGGCACTAATTGGTATTCAGAAATAATCAGCTATAATGGAGAATTAACAGACCAAGCCAGCTGAAAAGATATGCAGTTCCAACAAAGCTGGAAGACTTTTCCCAAAAGCAAATAGCTTCTTTTTTTTTTTTTTAAGCTTCTCATATCTCCTAAGTGTCTTGGGCAATTAATTTCAAACTTTGATAAAATCCTCCTCTGGCTACAGAGCAGGGGAAGGGAGAAAGGGAGTTCAATTGGAAAGTAGCTCTTCTTTTTTTTATTTTATTTCTTTAAACAGGCAATTGCTCCATACCATAATTAACCTAAATGTCACATCCAGGTATGCAATTTCCAGACAAATAATTAATGCACTTCAAGTATTTTACTGTTAACAGCGTAAATGTTGAGCTGGTTTGAAAATCTTCAGTTCCTGCATGAAATACCTCCACAAGACAATTATTAAGAAATACTTTTCATCAGCAAAGTCATGATACAGATGGTTTTCAATGGAAAAAATGGGCTCTCCTTCCTCTGTAGGAGGTCTAAATGCACCTCCTCCCCCCGAGGCAGGAGGTGTTACCTGGCCTTTCGCAGACGCTGCCGTTGACCTCATTGATGCATGTTGCTGCCTTCAGTCCCTGTTGGGAAGGCTCAGCTAAATACCCACAAAATCCAGCATCACTTGGTTCACCAGGAAGCCACTGGAGGGAGGTGTTGGTGAAGGGAGACATATCTTCCCAGCACCAATAGGACACGTTGATTTTCCTCAGTCCAACCCATGGAGTCAAAGTTTTGGGCTAGAAATAAAGGAGAAGATCGAATCTAAAATATTGTTTCTGGCCAGAAGATTCTTAACATGAAGATCTAACAATACAACTATTACTATTTTTGGCACACTTATTTTGGAGAGAAGCATTTTAGCTTATTGGGATAATATGCTATTTTACTGTTGTTATTATATATAACCATTATCTACTTCAAACTGGTTTTAAGCATGTTCTAACAGCATCAGGGTTACACATCACATGGTGCCAACACCAGCGTGTTTTCTTGTTACTACCAAGCATCAACACACAGTTTACTTAAAAAAGGAGTAACTGCAAAGCAGAACCTCCTCCAGCACTGCCACTGTGTCACACTGAGCCAAAGAAGCTCAAGTACCACAGCCAGGCTGGGTTTTAGGAAAGGGGTTTTCAGAGAATCCTGGAATCACAGAATGGTTTGGGCTGGATAGGACCTTAAAGGTCATCTAGTTCCAGCCTCCTGTCATGGGCAGGGACTCCTTCCACCAGACTAGGTTGTGCCAAGCTTCATCACACCTGGCCTGGAACACTTCCAGGGATGGGGCAGCCACAGCTTCTCTGGACAACCTGTGCCACCCTCACAGCCAAGAATTCCTGCTCAAAATCCCATCAATCCTTGCCCTCTGACAGTGGGAAGCCATTCCCCCTTGTCCTGTCATTCCAGGCACCTGTCCAAAGTCCCTCTGCAGCTCTCTTGGAGCCTCTTAAGGCACTGGAAGGAGCTTCAGAGATTTCCACGGAACCTTCTCTTCTCCAGGCTGAACACCCTCAGCTCTCTTTGCCTGGCTCCACAGCAGAGGTGCTCCAGCCCGCAGAGCATCTCCATGGCTTCCCTCCACTGGAGGGAGGTGTTTGGACTCTCTCCAGTAGCTCCACATCCTTCTGCTGTTGGTGCCCCAGAGCTGGAGGCAGCACTGCAGGTGAGGTCTCACCTGAGCAGGGCAGAGGGGCAGAATCCCCCCTCACCTGCTGCCCATGCAGCTGGGATCAGCCCAGGATACAGTTTCCCACATTACAAGCATTCCATATTAATATCCATTAAAACAGGCTCATAGTCTCTTTAGGATCACTTTTCAAAGGACTCTGTAGCTGGAAAAAAACCCCTGTAAATTAACAATTTTTTCTTCCCTGTGTAAGGATCTAAGCACTATTAGAGAAGGGCTGCCATGTGTCTTTAGGAATTTACTCCACACTTAACTACTGGGATATACAGAAACACCTGGAGCTGTCAGAAGCACATACTTTTACAATATCCAAGGCTTAGCTTCCTCTCTTTACAAAAGATTTAACAAACAATCTTGCTTAAATTGTACCTTACCTTTTGTTGGCTAAATTGACTCCCCTCTCAAACACTGTAATTGCTGAAATTCCACTTCAAAATTACAAAGAGAATCAAAGCAGGGAAGGTTCTTGTTTCAACAGGGGAATTTTTCTGTTAAGTACTGAAGTACATTCTACTCTGAAATGTAGCAATCCTATTGCTTCCAGCCTCCTATATAAAACTCTTTCTGCAGTGGCCTCTGGGCCCCAGGAGGAGTTGTTATTCGCCGGCCTGACCCAGGATTTTGGGAAAGCTGCACAGCATCATTGTCAGGGTTGTAGCACCACCTACACAACCTGCCCCGAACACCTCCCTGCTTCTCCTAGGGACTGGAAAAAATATGCATTTATTTTACTGATGCATGAAGAGGGACAGATTCCAGTTCACTTCTCCCTGGCTCCCACAGAAAAGCACCTGCCACTGAATCACACCTAAATAACTCCAGAGAAGCCAAGCAGCTCTGTGGAATAACAAGGCAACATTTTAAGCAGCTGCTTTTCTGAGGGGAATAAATAACTTGAAATGCTTTACATGAAACATCTCTGGTGCCCCAACGGGACCTTTATTTATAAAACATTGTGTCCAAGTCACGAGAGGCTCCTGCTGCAGTGCTGTGTCCCACCAGAGACACACGGGTGTGAAGCCATTACAGACAGTGATACTTCCGAGGCTCTGGGTAAGTTTGTATTTATCTTTCCCATTTACGCTCTGTACAATTTCAGTTCAGAAGCACCCAGAGGGGATGCTGAATTTCAGAAGAAAATCAGTCCTTTTGGGTTAAGAGGCAGCTCTATTGTGTGCAGAGCATACAACACCCCAGCAAGGACTTACAGTCAGAGCTTAGTTACTCAGGGGACATGAAAGAGAAGCACTCACCGAAGACTGCATCTTCTGCAGCTCCTTCAGAACAAACTCCACCTTCTTCTGGGAGGTGAGAGAAGCCAGTGAAGCACCACTGGACCTGCAGGATAGTTTGGCATGATCATAGGTCTCCTTTGCATTGGTAATCTTCAGGCAGGAGTTGCCAACCAAATGCCAGTTCGTTCCACAGATGTTTTCTGGGAGGGGAAAAGAAAGTAAACCCAGAGATGCAGGTGAGCTTCACAACGTTCAAAGTAGGCAAAGAACCATGGAAGAACATGAGGCAGAGTGTGCCCATGTGAGCAAGCAGGCCAACAGCATCTTGGCTTGTACCAGCCATAGTGTGGCAGCAGGACCAGGGCAGTGCTTGTCCCTGTGCTGGCACTGCTGAGGCACCTCCAGCCCTGGGCGCAGCTTTGGGACCTCATGACAAGAAAGACACTGAGGGGCTGGAGCAGGTCCAGGGAAGGGAATGGAGCTGGGGCAATGGCTGAAGCACAAGGAGAGGCTGAGGGAGTTGTGGGGGCTCAGCCTGGAGAAAAAGGAGGCTCAAGGGGACCCTCTCACTCTCTACAACTCCCTGACAGGAGGTTGGAGCCAGGTATGTGTCAGGCTCTTCTCCCCAGTAAAACATGACAGGATAAGAGGAAACAGCTTCAAGTTGTGCCAGGGCAGGTTGAGGTTGAGGTTGAATATTAGGGACAATTTCTTCATGGAAAGGACTGTCCAGCCCTGGCACAGGCTGCCCAGGGCAGTGTCGGAGTCACCATCCCTGAAAGCGTTAAACAAAACAAGTGGCACTTTGTGCTATGGTTTAGTGGGCATGGGGGTATCTAAAGGTTGGACTCAATGATCTTGGAAGTCTTTGTCAATCTCAATGATTCTCTGAACCCTTCCACTAAATTAAAACCTACAGCCCCATCCCAAACCAGTGTAACTTCCTGGTGTGCTCAGAAGTATTGATACATAATGAGACTGGAGGAGAAGATCTGTTTAAGGGAGCTTTAAATGGACATAAGCATTTAGTTGTCTCCAGTATGGAATCAAGCACTTATTACAATGTTGAATAGTAAAATTATTGTAGGAGGAAGAGGAAAAACAACGGAAATTAATATTTTGTTAATGGCTTAAAGCAACTTATTCACCCACAGTTGCTAAGGGGCCTTTTGGCAGGAGAAGCTGTTGTGCTAATCCTGTTCACATCGTGAACTTCCAGGATTAATCCCTGGTGGATCTTGAGCACAATCCACTACAGAACTCCTTACACTTTGTGATTAATTACTTCCCTTACAAAAAACCCTGATGGGCATTGCCAGTGTGAATTTCTGCAGAGCTGATGTCCAGCGCCAACCCCTTGACTTAGATTTAACAGATGGAAAAACTCTTAAGTGCCAGTTTTTCAGATGAGCTTTTTACATATATGATCGAGTCACCCTCTTTTCTACATCAAATTAAATACACCAAGCTCTTTATCTACTCATTAAAAGATGCTTTTCTCACTCTCATGGCTCTTCTCCAAAGTCTCCTCAATTTTTAACTCTTCCATACTAGTAAACACCAGACTCGGACACGTCCAGACTTACCAGAGCTCCTAGGGGAAGGCTTTCCATGCCCATGCTCTGTCAGCTGGTTTTTCCCTCTTTCTCTATGTTTTATTAGCTGCAAATGTTAATCGCTGAAGATTCTGTATTGCTCTCCCAGTTACTGGGATTTAAAAAACGTATTCCAAGGGGACTAATAATCAAATCCTGAGTTCCACTGGAAACACTCTTAAAAAGAGGTTTTTCCTTAAACACTTTAGGTGTTACTTGCCTAATTTGTCCAGTATGTGCCACTATGCTTTTGCACAATTCTAGCTGCTAAAATTAAACAGCATGCATTATTAAATCTAATATCTTGCAGCAGCCTATTATCAACAGCACTGCTTTTATCAAATGAAAAGGGAGAGATGAAATACAGCCAAATAATTATACAAATGATCACAGGCCTCTTCAGGCAATTGGGACTGAAAAATATTAGAGAAGACGTGCTGGATTTACTAGAAATAAAGTTTTATCCCAAAGCTGATATGATTAAACAACATTATTTAGAACAGTTTAGCAGTAACAAGAGCAATTTGGGGGTTAAAAGGACAAAAATGAACCAAAAAAACCTCAACAGTTTTTGGAGTGGGTGACTTTGTAGTTGTTTTCTTACATGAATACCACTAGCCCCTACCTGGCAAAGCAATGCACTCCTGATTCCTGGGTTCCCACTGACAGTTTTGATCCATAGCACAGCTTTTACAACTTGTCTTTTTGTTGCAGTAATAGGCAGGATTATCCTTAGGACAGTTCTCATAGACAGTAATAGGAACCTAAAAGAAATAGCACAGGTGAGTATCCAGTATCCAGCCAACATGGGCTTGTAACAGCAACGACTACAACACTAAACATCACAGCTCAGCCCCACAAAGCAATTTATATATCCCAATGCTGTGGAACAGGGCACAACCTGGACTGGGATCCAAGATGTTCCCCCAAGCCACCACCTGACACATCTTCCTTGGTAGAGCTGTTACAAGAGGGTTAATTTGTTTTTTGTAGGGCAAGCTCTATTGATATCAAATCAAAATGTGCCTTAATGAATAATCACACCATGGTAAAACCTGCACCTCTTCCCCTGCCTACAGCCACCGTCCTAAATTCATTGGAAAAACCCATGAAAAACCTTTGGATCAACTCAAAATAATCCAAACGTGTTGCATTTTAGAGCTAGACATGCCCTGCAAATAACCAAACAGGGACCATGTTACTGGCAGATGAAAACATCTGGACATTTGGTATGTCAAAGGCTAAATTTAAGGTACAGAAGTATTAGATGTTACCTGTTCCTCTGTGCAGTTGTTCTGTACTGAGACACACTGGTCAGTGCACCACTGGCAGCTGTTGGTGTTTGCTGTGCAGCTGTAGCAGTCTGTAATCTGATCACATTTTTCATTGTCTACAACTATTAAAGAAAAAAACCTGCATGACCAAAAAGAGGCATTTCCTGACAGAGCTCTAAGAACTTGATTATATACAGCACAAGATACAACCAAACAGCAGTGCCTGTAGGTTTCTGTTAGCAGAGTAATCGGGTACTTTCATGTAATGGAATTGATAGAAAATTGCCTTTATTTACAGCATTTAGTGCCCAAGGAGCCCTAAAACACACCACCAGAAAATGCACTGACACGTGCAAGCACATAACTAAGACACGGATGTTCAGTCAATGCCCAGGGAAATGATCCCAGAGGATATTCCGCAAGGACAGTGACCATCTCCCACCACAGCCCCATCCTGCTGCAAGCCTGGCCTTCAAGAGGAGTGTTTTCATGCAAAGCTTGAACTTTTCATTCATCTTTCCAATTATTTCTTGTCTGTTAATGCATGAAAATTTATTGTAGAGAGTCTAGAGGAGGGAATAGCTCTATGGAAGGAGCTGGAGCACGTGGAGTGACTGAGGAAGCTGTGGGGGCTCAGCCTGGAGAACAGGAGGCTCAGGGGGAACCTTCTCACTCCTTCCAACTCCCTGACAGGAGGTTGGAGCCGGGTGGGGGTTGGCTTTGCTCCCAAGGAACAAGTGACTGGACAAGAGAAACTGCCTCAGGCTGCACCAGAGGAGGTTCAGGTTGGACATCAGGAGGAATTTTCTCCATGAAAAGGGTTGCCAGGTGTTAGAAGGGGCTACCCAAGGCAGTGGTGGAGTCACCATCCCATGAGGTGTTCAGGAAACAACTAGACATGGCACTCAGTGCTCTGATCTAGTTGACAAGGTGATGATCAGTCACAGGTCGGACTCAATAATCTCAAAAAGTCTTTTTCAGCCTAAATGATACTGTGATTCAGAGCCCACCAATGTCCTCTCACATCAGTTTCTATTGAACAATTAAAGGCTGCCATCTCTTACAGAATCAAGGCGTAAATAATTCAATCCAGAGCAATGAATCCACCATGATAAAGTTGTTTCAAAATTACCCTAATGGAAGTTACAGGAATAAGATCTCAGAACATTTATTCATTTTGTCTGCCTCTATACACAGAATCCCAGAATGGTTTGGGTTTGAAGGGACCTTAAAGATCATCTGCTTCCAATTCCCATGCCAAAAAATAAAATAACTTCTCCTGAAGTCTGCTGTCTCTCTTGAAGAGCACAGGGCAACACCACCAGATCCAGATCTCCTTCCTCGCTCCATGGTGCTCATCAACAAATCGCTTGTTTCACAAGGTCAATTCTTGGAGCAAACATCTACAGAGTGATTGTCCAGGCCTGATTCCTGACTGATGACGGTTGGTCGGGATAGGGAGGGAAGTTCAAGCAGCATTGTTGGAAAAAGATATAATGAGCAAAGAGCTTCAGGGGGGTGAGAGACGGAAACATCTCCACATCACCTGGTGAGAGGAAGGGCTCTAAGGACATGTATGTAAGCACAACTCGAGTCCCATCTACAACTTGACCTCATAACGGCACACAACTAATGCAAGACAGAATTTGCAAACGGGGAAATACCCTTCACACCTTTAGGAAAGGGGAATGGAAAGCCTGGTACACATACCTGGCTTGGGAGGACAGTCCTCAAAGACCTTTTGCTGCTGCTCCAAGGTCGCATTTTCCCAGGGGAGGCAGCGGGGAGAGTTGGGATCCCACACACACCTGACGCCGGGGCTTGCTCGCCAGCAGGATGTCTCATTGTCAAAGGCCTCACATCTCTCAGGTGTGAACTTCAGGATGTCACTCAGGAGGAGGCTGTTGAAGCCTCCAAATACATACATGGTGCTAGACAACAGGGAAGTAAAGAGAGAAACACTTGAGCTGTGTTTATAGGCTGCACACTGCTCTGGGTAAATGGGATATAAGGTCTGAGGGAAGTGTTTTACTACATTCCAGCATGTATAAATCCAAATAAATAGCTCTTGGTTAAGGGAGGCACTAAAGAAAAGGTCAGTGAAATTTCACTATTTCAGAGAGGCTTAACACAGAGTCAAATCTATCCAAGGTCATGGACCAACCTTCCCCTCAACCAAAACACCTGGTCAACGTGACTACATGCAAATGTTGCAGAAGTGTGGGATCCTCCTGTCATCTGCAGTGTTAAGAGAGGGAAGAAGGCTGAAAACTGGGGAGATGTTATCACACCATCAAACCAGTGCCCGGGAACTGTGACAAAACAATTTGGTGCTGTCACTCTCACTACACCACTGTCACAAACCCACAGCTTTCATGGCTGGTCCCGGCTGAGCAGAGTCATTGCATCATCTAAAAAACCCCAAGAGAACCCCAAAACAAACCAACATTTTGTAGGGGAAAGTGTGGGGGGTTTTAAACCTTCTTTAGTACCACTTCTTTTAGTACCTCAACTGCTTCAGGCAAAATATCAAATTTTATAGTTACATAAAAACGTCACCCAAAAATTCCCTGTGCATCCATGTTTGTCAATGCTCCTTTAAAAAGACAGTGAAAAAGGGTCTTAGGACTCCTCAGAAATATCATTTCTCAAACTTCGTTCCACAGACTCAAAAGCAGTTACAGCTGTTCACCTGAAAGTAAACACACTACAGTGTGTAAAGCTTAACAGCTGAAATCTCACCTAGGATTTCACCCAAACACTGGACATCCTATGGCTGGGAAAGAGCAGCCCCAGGCAGTTTAGCCCCAAAGGATAAGAAATGTAAACTGAACGGATAAGGTATGTATACTGAAACATGGACAAATCTAGAAACCATGAGGGAACTGAGGATTTGGAGATAAAAAGTTGCCAGTGGAGCTAAGTAAGAAACAGAAGTTAAAATGCACAATCACAAAAAAAAAGAAAGAAATAGACACATACACAAATGTAGGAAAAAAGAACAGAAATATGAAAAAAAATCAAATTATTGAAATAACTAAGTGAGCTAAGACAGTTTAGTCCAGTGAAGAAGGGCTGATGGGAACAGGTGGATACTTAAGAGACTACAAGAGTGAAGATCTGAGAACTTTCAGAGATTCATAGAATCATAAAACTGCTGAAGAGAACATAAACACCATCTCATTCCACGTCCCTGTCCATTGACAAGGACACCTTCCACTAGACCAGGTTGCTCCAAGCCCCATCCAACCTGGCCTGGAACACTCCCAGGGATGGGAGTCCACAACCACATTGGACCACAAGGTTTGTAACAGATCCTCACCACTCTGATCTCAGCACTACTGATCTGCACGTGTGTGTTTAGTGAGGTCTGAAATGTTTCTGACCTTACCTGTTGTACAGCACAGCAGAGTGTCCAAACCTGTTCACATCGTGGTGGAGCCCAGGGCGAGGCAGCACAGACCATCGGTCACAAGCTGGGATTGAAAGCACACAGTTCAGAAAGGTTTCTCAAGGTAATTAACAAGGCAATTTAGTACATATCATCCTGAAAGGTCCCAAAGTATGTGGGAACTTTCAATAAAGACACTGAGGGGCTGGAGTGCATCAAGAGATGGGAACAGAGGTGGGGAAGGGGCTGGAGCACAAGGAGCAGCTGAGGGAGCTGTAGGGGCTCAGCCTGGAGAAAAGAAGGCTGACAGGAGGTTGGAGCCAGGTGGGAGTTGAGCTGTGCTGCCACGGAGCAGGACAAGAGGAAGTTGCTTTTTCTCCTTTACTAGTGGAATTTTTCATGGTGCAACAAGGTCAGGTTTTATCTGTTTACATGTGAATTATTTGCAGTTTAGCCCCAAACCAATATCACCGAGAACAGAGGCTTATCTTTTTTTTCTCCCATTGCAATTATGTTCCTAGAGGGCTGATATCCATGTTTTTAAAAATATTTTTCACTCATCATAGCTTAAGGATTTGTGGCTGTTTTTCTCTTTTAATACAATGTGAGATTATTCCATCTTTTTCTATTAGCATAACCTCTGTAAATTCTGCTTCATTTTTCCCTTGGTTTCTCAGGTAATTTTTCCCTTTAGGCAGCATGGAAAGAAAAAATCAAGCTAAGAAACATCTAACCCACTGAGCAAAGGAACAAAAGCAGGAAAAGTCAGTCCAATTCATATCACTTAAACTTCATAAAGTGAATGGGATCACCTTGGGGACCAAAGTCCCAGAGGCACTTGGATGCAATTTATGCAATTAAGACAGAAAAGTCAATCTGCTGTAAAGATCTACAGAGCCCTCAAATACTCCAAGATCCTTTAATACAAGACAAAACTGTTCTGCCATGGATAGAACCTCTGGGGAAAAAAAACCCCACAAACCAAACTAGTCCATGGAAAAACTGACAGGGCAAAGAGACACAAATTTATCATTTTTACTAAATCTAATTGGAGAATTGTTGGGTAAACCAACCGATTCTGAGCAGAAACTTTCATTCTAGAGTGCTGATAAATAAAAAGCACAGCAATTCAGTTGGTTGGATTTCATACTTTGATAAATTGTGACTTGGAAGTTTATTTTTAAATGTCATTTGCTTGATTTTCAAAGCATTTCACCTAGCCCAGCATCCCTCCCTAGCCAAGCATGCATGGCTCCAGTTTTTAACAGGAGACTTCAGCAGAATTAAACAGCAATTTGCAATTTTTTAGCCATCAAGTTGTTGAGTTATGTGAGGCCAAGAAACATATTTTGCTAGATTAACAGAAGGCCTGGAATGTTTTGCTTTCTAAGCTTCTTTCCCATCTTTAACTGAAGATCAAGTATTGGAAAAAATGAGTAATTCTGCAACTACAAAGAATCTTCTCCCTCCTGACTTAGGAGTTAAGCCAAGCCTAAAACTTACAATGCCCAGGATTTATTCAATGTACTATTCAAATAGAACACATTGCTATGAAAACATCCAGCCTCTGCCTATGTTTGTCAGCAGAACTGAATTTCTGATATGGTAAATAGAGGAGTTTTAACTACTCTTCTGTGAAGAGAAAAGATCATTATACAAGTAGAGTCTTTAGGAGGTAGAGGGTTAAGTGAGTATTGGATTGAAGCATCTGTCCACTCAAAGCTGATGCAGAGGAGAAAACTCTTCTACAGAGGCCTGAGACCTCAATTTTGGGGATATGAACTGCTAAGTTGTCACTGCAGTGTGCAGAAAGTAGGAAAAACACTGAGACTGCTCTACCCAAGAGCTCACTCAACCTGAACATCAACACGCTGCAAAGGCTTGTCTTGAGAAGGAGAAATACACCTGCACTGGTTGTATAGATATATCAGCTAGATAGTTATCCTGAAACTTTCCCAAGCTAGGCATTACCTGGACAATTTGGACTGAACACACCCCAACTTGGTCAAGTGGAGGATAAAGAATAAGACACATTAATGCATTCTCAGACGTCCCTAATCTGCTAAAGCCCCAGCACACATCTCAGTGACATCTGCAAGCATTACCCCCTCAAAAAAAGTGAAGACATTATGTCTCCACAACACTCAGGAAATCTGAGGAGAAAAAAAACCAGAAAAATGAGATTACGTAAATAAAATTATCTACTGCCAAACCAAGTTTGAACGGCAAAGCTTAAGGAGACTTGGGTTTGAGGCCTTTATTTCAGACTGAGTTTTCATTTCAGTTTTCTCCAGTCTTCCAACCATCACTCTGATCACTAATCAACCTAATCACTAATCAGTCATGAACATTAATCAACAAGATGTTAAAAATGAGCAAACCAGCCAGCCAGCACACTATGAAATTAGGAAATAAGACAATTACTAAGCCTCTACTTCAAAGGCTCTTGGTGCCAACTGACCTTGCTTAGTTTTCTCCAGGGTAATTTGAGCCTTGGGAGCACCAAGGGATAGGTAACAGGAGCTTTATATGGGCACATTCCCACAAGGACTAACATGAACATGATTAAGACAATTAATTACTGCAGAGATCATGCATGAAGAACAACCAAGACACTGGTTTTGCTGTGACACTAATGATCAGCCTAATGTATTCCTGGTGGTGCTCCCAGTCAAACCGGATAAGGAAGCTCATGCAAAAGGGGAAATGTCATGAAGAAAACAGAAAAAGTGGTCTGTTTTTCTGAAAAAAGCTGCTATTTTCAGGCTGAGTGCCTCTTCCCTAGGAATAAGGGGACCCAAGAACACCTCTGGCCCTTGTCATGTGAAGCAGAAAATCAATGCAAGCTCTAAATCTCAGTGTAAAACTGGTAAGGACTGGGTAGGCTGGCTACATCCCTTTTATCATGGAGCAGGAACCTGTTTGTTAACTAACCCAAGTCAAAATGAACATCATTATTGGCATATTTTGTCAAATTAATGCAATTTGTGTTCTAAATCTAAGAGTTAAGGGAAAGCAGCAGAAGGTAGCAACTACTAATATTGCAATCAAAGTTTAAAAAATTAATTCACGGCTGTCATAGAAAACCAGGATGGTCGGGGTTGGAAGGGACCTTATAGCCCACCTAGTTCCAACCCCCTGCCAAGGGCAGAGACACCTTCTACTAGCCCAGGTTGCTCCAAGCCCCATCCAACGTGGTGAAATACCTCATTTAAATTCTTCAAGAAAAAAAAATATCAAAATAAAGCTAGCTAGGAGCACACAAAAATTCCCCAGGGATATGACTTGAAATCACAGGAAGCAAAAGGCAACGACCTCTGTATCAGAGAGCAAAATGATCCAAGTGATCAGTTCACTTACATTTTCCTGTCACAAACCAAGAGTGAGACTGCAGTGGACAATCACTCCGAGACTTCAGTTTTATGTGATTATTTCAGGGAATCAATCACAACAACTCACATTTAGGGAATTCTGAGAGCAAAAGGCAAATGTGACAGAGCACAGAATGGTGTTTTTGCCCAGCGTGAATTATCTGGCTGTGTAAGCACCTTCTTTTGTATAATTTCATCTCTTCTTTTCTTCTTAAATTCACTATCTCTGGACTCCAAATTCCCAAATAAATGCTGCCCTCTCCTGGCTGCTCAAACTCAGCAAACCCAATCCAATAATTTGGCTTTATTGCTGAATAAAGCAGTGAAAACAAGAGTGTGCACTGGTTCGGGCTGAGTTTCAGCAGGGTCCAGTGCTTCTAACTGTCCTAACAACCTCCATTTTTGATCAATCACATATTATAACAGGGAAATATCAGCACAGCTCTATGGCTGTGATAGCAGAACAGGAAACAGCCTCAAGTTGTGCCAGGGGAGGTTTAGATTGGATTTTAGGAAATATTTTGCCATGGAAAGGGTTGCAAAGCCCTAGCACAGGCTGCCCAGGGAAGCAGTAGAATCACCATCCCTGGAAGTGTTCAAAAACATGTAGACATGGCACCTGAAGACCTGGTTTAATGGTGAACACAGTGCTGCTGGGTTCATGGCTGGACTTCATGATCTTAAAGGTCTTTTCTAACCTTACTCATTCTATAATTTCATGATTCTATACCAAAATGCTGTTTAAAACCCAATTTTTAATGCCCAGGGTTGTGCATAAACTGCTGACAAAGCAACTGCTGCTGCCTGTGCCTCAAAACCAACATCATTTCCTTGGAATTGTGTAGAAGCTAATGAGCCTCTCCTTGTTACACAACCCTAAGCTCAGGAGCATTTGGGACAATACACCCAGCCTATACATCAGTCATTCTGAAAACAACTCCCTTGGAATATCGAAGAATTTTATAGTTATATCTGCAAGAACTTACCAATATCATAGGCCATAAAATCAGATGAGAAGCATTTGGCTCCATGGCTCATGGAGGTGTCGTTGTGGGTGTTTCCTCCAAACACCAACATGGTCCCACTCATGATCACAGCCGTGTGCAAGTAGCGAAAAAATCGGCTGTCTTTCAGGATAGTCCTTCAGAGACAAAAACATATGTATCAATGACACTGGTAAGTACCTGGGAAAGACCAAACAACCCATAAATCCAAGCTGAGGAAGGTTTCAGGAATGCAGGGGAAGGGAGATAGTATGTAACTACTTTACTTAATGAGGTATTTAACAACTTCCTTTCCACACTGTTCAATTCCTCCTGGAAATTTGTTCTCATCTTCCCATCTGCTTTGCCAGTTTCTAGAAGAAATATATCTGTGAGAGACTCTTTCCAAAGGTATACATCTTCAAATCAACAATTCCTTCCCTAAAGACTCTCAGGTTTTCAGACTAACTGGGATTATGAGCATAGACAGCCTGGGAGGACTTCAGTATTTTATAGTAACTCCACTTTTACGGTAACCAAAGGATTCTGTCGAACTGGGCAGCAGCTGTTGCTCAACACTAAAAACCCCATTTTAAGGAAATCTGTGCAGCTCCCAAAAATGGAGCTCTGCACCTTAACACCTGCACAACTCAACACCTCATCTGTGACTAAATCATGGTCATGACTAAATCACTAGTCAAACTCACCAAGGATCTCATCTTTGAACAGAGGGATTCATGGCACTGAACACACAGGGTCATCTTTGTACAACTGCCCTTCTACTGTGAGAGGGTCTGGGCTGAAGGAGGTGATTCTGCCCCTCTGCTCTACTCAGGTGAAACCTCACCTGCAGTGCTGCCTCCAGCTCTGGGGCACCAACAGCAGATAGAGGAGGATGTGGAGCTGCTGGAGCAAGTCCAGAGGAGGCTATGGAGGTGCTCTAAGGGCTGCAGCACCCCTGCTCCAGAGCCAGGCTGGGAGAGCTGGGGGTGTTCAGCCTGGAGAAGAGAAAGTTCCAGGGAGACCTTCTAGACTATTCCAGCACATTAAGGGGCTCTCCAAGAGAGCTGGAGAGGGACTTTGGACAAGGGACAGGAGAAGTGGGAATGTCTTCTTACTGCCAGAGGGTTAGATGGGATATAGGGAAGAAATTCTTGGCTGTGAGCTTGCTGATGCACTGGCACAGGTTGCCCAGAGCAGCTATGGCTGCTCCATCCCTGGGAGTGTTCCAGGCCAGGCTGGATGGAGTTTGGAGCCACCTGGGCTGGTGGGAAGTGTCCCTGCCCAAGGTATGGGGGTGGAACTAGATGATCTTTAAGGTCCCTTCCATCAAGGGACAGCAAGCTGAGTGGTGTGGTTGACACACCTGAGGGACAGGATGCCATCCAGAGGGACCTGGACAAGCTGGAGAAGGTCCATGGGAACCTCATGGGATTAAATGAGGAAGAGAGGGCCTAAATCACTGAAGAATAAAAAAAAGGAGTAAATGAGGAGCAGACAGTCCTACAGTCTCACTGCAAGGCCACTGCTTGTTCAACTCTGCTTGCCAGGCTGACAAAAGAAATGTGACAAGGGGAAGCTGGTGCTGCAGCAGTTTGGAAGAATATTGTCACATTTGTGAAATTTCTGCCTATTCAGCCAGATTTTCTCTCTCCATGGCTGAAGTGGAGCATGAAATGAATCAAGAAAGGAAGTGTAATTATTGCTTCATGTTCAAGGGAACAGGAAGGAAAAGGTTTGGACATCAGTGACTTGTTACCTTACTCATCAGCACAGACCCACAAACTTGTTGTAGAAATACAAGCTATTTTAGCACTCAAGAGATACAGTGACTCAAATTTTCATGTGTTAACTCAAAGGACAGCCTCCTTTTTGTCAAGAGCCTTTAGAAACATCTTTAAGAGAAACAGAATGAAGGAAAATATATTTCACCTCTGCAGCTGCAAGTTGGGAAGTGTGGCTACAGCTCTTTAATAAAACTCACCTTTGGGCAGAAACAAATCACAGAAGATTTCAGCTTAAGAAATGAACATTTCAAGCAGTTACAGAGCCAGAAGAAAATGGGGTTATAATAGAAATTCTTTTACAGCCATAACTGTGGAATGAATTATCACTCACTTGCCTGCAGTAACTGCACTCACATGCACAGCCTGTACTGCTGGCAAGGAAAAAAACAGCCAATATTTTTCTTTTCAGCTTGAACAGAACAATAGATTAAAATGGATTTCTTGGCTCATTCACAGCCTTGATTATATGTGATTATATGATTCTCTATTCATAAAGGGATAGAAAAATAAGAGATCCAAGAGCACAGCATCTCTCCTGAATGCAGGGAGAGATAACTTACTGCACTCTTATCCATAGGTTATCCTGAATGCAGTAGATATAACAGACTGTATCCTTATCAAATACTCCATTCCTCTTGTCCACTACAGATAAAAAAGGACAGAGTAGTTTAGAGGAAAAAGAAGAAAGAAGAAGTACTTACCACATACGGGAATCAACTTCATATTTGTACAAGTCATCTGCCAGCCTGTACTTGTTGGCACTGAATGCTTTGTAACCTCCATGGACATAAATTGATCTTGTATTTGGATCATAAACACTGCTGTGCCCATACCCTCCTTGCACCAAAGCTCCACTTGTCTGTAAAATGTTCCAGGTATTTGTCACTGAAAAATATGAGTGACAAAAATATAAGTGACAAAACATGGCTCATTTCTCTCCATTAATAAGTCATCAACAACATGGTGAAACAAATTGGGATTCCCTTGACTCAGATCTAGACATTGTCTCCATTACTTCATATCCCAAAATATTCTCCTTCCAGGAGTTTCTTGTCAAGAAGGATTGTCAAGGATTTTTAATTAGAGCAGAAACAGCTCTTCCACAGGCATTTCTTATGTTTTGCAGACAAGCTAAGTAAATGAGAGATAAAAAGCACAGAAATAATAGATAGCATTTCAATGACATGGAAATTCCAGCAGTGTGACTTGATTTGGAATGGTCCCCAAGAGCACTTTTACTTTTTATATATATATATAAATACATATATAAAGCCAGACAGCACTGAAGCCAAGCCTGACTGTGAAGAACTCTGCAGTTAAAAACTAATATGTGATTAATGCTCCTATATCTCACTCACTAAAGTAACATTGGTCTGAAGCACTTTAGACATAATATAATGGCAACTGAAATAAAAATGCCAAATTACACACCAAATCTCTGGAGTAAGCACAGAGTGAAATCCTACACAGCCTTCCCAACTCCAGGGCACAGCAAGCACCCAAAAAGCAAAGGAAGTGAATAGTCTGCAAGATCACATGTGGCAAAAACAAATCACTGCGCCACACATCCTGGTTCTCTCTGGATTTCTCCTAGGGGAAGATAGCTTGCTCATGGGGACACCAGAGACTCCAGCACATCCTGTGGATCAGCATGACTGGAGGATAACAGGTTGAAAGTGCAGACAGGGTCACTATTTCTGACAATAATCAACAGCACAAGGCTGTTGTGAACTTCCTGTGCTTAACTATGATCTCTCCTCAATCAGTGGAGACAGAGACAATGAGTGTGTTTCAGAGTTAGGTAGCAGTGCAGTTCACCTAGATAACTTCCTACACTTCACAGCTCACACTAGAAATCTCTGGATCCTGAAATCAGAGCATGGACTATTTCCAGAGATATGAGCATCAGATCATATCATGGATATGGGAATCCAGGAATTCATCACCAGTTCCCCTAAGCATCTGCTGCAGAGGACATGGGTGTCAGCTTAAGCAGATACTTGGTTTGAATTGTTACAGCAATTCTTGCAACCGCATGATTAAAAAATAACTTGACAAGTGTTTGCTTTGTCAGAGGGGGAGAGGAAAATTAGCCTAAATTGTCCCACAGTTATCCTCTTTGTCTCTCAATTACAGTTTTGTGTCTTCGGAGCCTACCAAGCTGTACAAAGCTGGAGGCACATGGCTGCCTGCTCAGCTATACAAATACTAAGAGTTAGGGTGAACTTCTTATAAATACGAATAAAATAAATACATAAATAGAAAATAAATAAACAGAAGGAGGAGAACACATCTGTCTGGTTTACTACCTGAACATGGATTACACAAATAATATTTGAAACCAACTCAAACTTGAAGCAACTGGCAGGTAGGGCCCCACTCACCCAAGTTGTACTCCTGGACATTGCTGATGTACCCATAAAGAGGACAGTGCCCAAAAATCACAAGCATGACTGTGCTGTTGTCTCGCAGGGTGACAATGTGTGCTGAGTGGCCAACCACAGCATACTGCTCCTTGGCTTTGGGAGTCACCTGGGCCCAGGTCTGGTTGGAAATGTGGAAGACCCACAGCTGGCTGCTCACATTTCCTGTCGCATCTATCTTCCCACCATACATGTAGATGTTATCCTGAAAGAAGGCAGATAAAATAAGGCCAAGGAGATTAGCATTTAGGAATCACAGAATCACTAAGGTTGGAAAAGACCTCTGAGATCACCAAGTCCAACCTGTGACCAAACACCACCATCTCAACTAGACCACTGCACTAGGTGCCATGTCCAGTCTCCCCTTAAACACCTCCAGGGATGGTGACTCCACTATCCCCCTGGGCAGCCAGTTCCAATATCTAACCACCCTTTCTTTATAGAATAATGTCCAACCTGAACCTCCCCTGGCACATCTGGAGACTACATACTCTGGTCCTGGCATTTTCCTGTATTAGGAAACAGTTAAGAAATTTAAGTTCCTGGTCTGAAGTAACTGAAATTACTTAAGTCCCCAGGAGATGGGCCAAGTGAAGAAAAAACATGTGTTTTGACTGAAAGCGCAAAACCAACATTAAGAATTTGAGGAAAATTGAGAAAACAATCTGTAGGGCTAATTCTGCATCAGTAAGAACTGTAACATCACTGTCTGGGTTTGTGTATGAGCAAATTATGCTCAGTTCAAACTTCTGATGGTGCTTGGAGTAACCTGGGCTAGTGGAAGGTGTCCCTGCCCATGGCAGGGTGTCAGAAGTAGATGAGCTTTAAAGTCCCTTCCAGCTCAAACCATTTTGTGATGCTATGATGAACTTCCATCCTTTCAGGTTCCTCAAGTGCTCTGTTTGTGAACCTTGCTGTGTGGAGCTTTTTGAGTGTTTATAATTAAGTCTTGCACTGTGATGAGCTAATTAACATTCCAAAAAGCAAAGGTCAGTAAGAGATTAGCTCATTTCCTTTTCAAAGACTTTGCCATCCCGCAAACGTGTCCCTCACCCAGAGGAAGGCACACAAGTGAGAAAGGAGATAAAAACAGTTAAACCCACTTGCTGTGTCAGGTGCTGGAAGATCAGATTCATGGGTTTACTGCAGGAGCAGAGCAAGTTCTAAGACACCCTAATTCCCCAGTTCTGCTTTGCTACCTTGGACAACAGAGCTCATAAAAATATTTATGCCATCTACACAAGAGGCAGCGGAGAACCAGCTGAACTCCAGCAAACTCTGCCTCAGGCATGTCTTGCCAGCACAGACAACACAGAGGAAATGCTGGGCTCAGTGACCTCAGTCAGCCTTAAAAATATCTGGAAAAGAGGCAAAGGAACACACAAGCAAAGGCACTACAGACTTCCAAGGATGCCAGTCCAAGGATTCCCTGGAGTACAAGTATGCAGCTTAGGCTAACCATGAACAAGAATGAGGAATTCTTCTCCCAAAGCAACACTGATCTGGGATAAGGGGAGGGCACGGGGAGAGAAGAAGGGAAAATCATCTGGGAAGGAAGACTGCAGCACTCAACTCACCTTGTGCAATGCCAAGGAATGACCATATCTCATCTCTACTGAGTTCACAGAGCTGTTCAGGGGAAGCCACTCTTCAGAAATAAGATCATACCTGTATTAATAAACAATTAATTTCCAAGAAATAGGTATTAAATCTGAGAAAATTATTGCTTGTCCTTTCCAAGATTTGGGGGGAATTATTTACCAAAATAATATTATATATGAGTATTTACTAAGATAATAAATCCTGCCACGATTTCAGCATGCACTGAACTTGCACAAACTACTTAGGGATTAGCAAATCCAGTCAAGCCTGCTCTGTTACTCAACAGTCACATATTGATTTGCTTTATCCTGTCATCTTTCCCATGCAAACCCAGGAGCTAATGCATTGTCCATTAAGCTGTGACAACTTATACCACATGATCCCTCAAAAAGTAGCAAAACCTTACACTAAACACAGGTAAGTTCTGAATACTTGACCAAAAAAAATCCTGCCAGTGCTTAAAAGCACTTTTTAACTATGTCTTTGCCATTCAAGTTTGAAATAACACAAACCTCTGCCATAAACATGGCCTGGGGCCTTTTATTTAAAAGAATGAACTATCCTTGCCAGGCTTAGAGCCTTGTGAGATAAGATCATCGCTGAGAAAGTGTTCAGCAAAACTATAGGGTATCCCATTGGAAAATCAGGAATTACTTAGAAAGGCTGAATTTTGGATGCAAACAGCAATTGTTCTACAGTTAAATGTGTGTTTTTAACTCCTTTAACTTGCTTTACCAGAACTATCACCTCTGGATGTGAGTGCAAAATACACAGTTCTCAATCCATCAAAGTGAGGCAGCCATGGGAAAAAAAAAATCAGCTTTTGCCTAGATCTGCCCATATACAAATCAAACTCATGAAGAAGCCTCAAAATTTGGGGGATTTATGAGGGATTTCCATGAGGTACACAGTTATTACTTGATAACTTAGTTACAGGTAAATCTCCTCAATTAACTGTATAAATAGCCTCATCCCAAATGCCACTCCCTGTTTGGTGTCCCATCCACTATGGACAACCATCACTAATCAGGATGTGCTAATTAAGGCGCCAAAGCCTCTGAATTCACGTACATATGACATAAGGGCTAAATGCACTGAAGCAAAACTAACCTCTTTGATTACGAGGCCACATATAACTTAGAAGCCACATATAACCTAGAAATATACAGCAAATACTTAAACACCGTCAGACACAGACGAACCAAAAACTCACTGAACATCAGTGCCCTGAGACTTTTCTTTTCCAAAATTAGCATCCCTTAGCAGCACTTCCCCACCTCTCAAATGTGAGCCTGAGTTTTACTCTGGTTGTTTTACCCTAGAGCAGCAGTATAGGCCACAGCAAAGCATCTGGGGTGACAGTTCCTAAAAATAACTCTCCAATCTAAGTTGCTCTCTTCAGATTTTATTCTCTGGGTTTATACTCACGCTAAAACCTTCTGAGAGTCAGAATGATTGAAGACATAGCCTCCAACAATCCACATCTTATTGTCATGGATGACGGTTTTGTGAGATGCCCTAGGAAGTTTTGGAAAGGAGTATTCCTCCCGGGTCCAGAATGACTGGTTTGCAGGAACAGGAATTGAACAGCCAGGACCTGGGAAAAGAAGGTTTAAAAACTAAGTTGTTTTTTAACAAAGCCTGTATTTCAGCTCGAGGTCAATCTCCTGCCAGTGCTGTAGCTGCCTGCATTTAACGTAAGACTAGTTCTTACATATCAATAAATCAGCGCAAAGGAAACAGCCCAAGTCACTGCTCAGATTCACACGGCAGATCAGCACAGCTGGACATGACAACAAGGCACGTTGTGCATTCCAACAGCCTCACCATGGCCACCAGACTCAAATTTGGTTTAGGTGCACAGGTATAAAGTTGCTATCTCATGTCTAAGGTGGGTCCTGCTTAGTTTGGTGGCAAAGCTGCTCTTAAAGGCCTATGAGACAAATCATAGAATCACAGACTGCTTTGGAGTGGAAGGGGTCTTAAAGAACAGCTAGTTCCAACCTCCTGCCATGGGCAGGGACACCTTCCACTACATCATGTTGCTCCAAGCACCATCCAACCTGGCCTGGAACACTTCCAAGGATAGGACAGCCACAGCTTCTCTGGGAAATCTGTGCCAGTGCCTCACCATAGCCAAGAATTCCTTCCCAATATCCCATCTATCCCTGCCCTCTGGCAGTGTGAAGCCAATTCCTCCTTGTCCTGTCCCTCCAGGTCCTTGTCCCAAGTCCCTCTCCAGCTCTCCTGGAGCCACTTTAGGCACTGGAAGCAGCTCTAAGGTCACCCTGAAGCCTTATCTTCTCTAGGCTGAACATCACCAGCTTTCCCAACCTGTCTCCATGACAGAGGTGCTCCAGCCCTCAGAGCATCTCCATGGCCTTCTCTGGACTCACTCCAACAGTTCATCCTTCCAAATGAAATATGATCTTTTGATATCAAAAGGTAGATACTCTGTTCCTAGTCAAAATGTTAAGACTTGTCAAGTAGAATATTCCCACATACTCCCAATAAAACTGCAAGAGCCATACACAGACAATGCATCCCAAAACCTTCTTTCCTTCCATCAGGATGCTCACCTTGCCAGCCTGCGGAGCACACACAGGCCTTAGAGCCATTGAAGTCGCAGTGGCCTCTCTCAGGTGCTCCACAGTTCTCTGTGCAGTAGGGAATGTCACAAGCTTCTCCCTTCCAGCGTTTGTCACATTCACATTCCAGAGCATTGGTGCTGCTGTTGAGCTTGCACTCCCCTTGGCCAGAGCAATTATTGGGACACGTATTGAAACTAGGAACATCAGGGAAAGCAGTTTGTCAGGCATGAAGCAGATTCCCAAGACTTATTAATGAAGACAGGAGTGATGCTGGACAAAGTGAATGCAGTTTGTTACATCCAAACCAATGAGAGACTCATCTGGTGCCTGATGTGATGGACCTGTAGAGATTTGCTCTCTATCAGCTACAGAGCTGCCTCCCTTCAGGAGTCAAACTCTCAGCTCCTCCGAAAAATTAGCAATATGATTTTTAGCCACTTGTAATGCAAAGCAATTGCCTTAAAAGACCCAACATTTAGTGAAGAACTCAGTCAGCATACAAGGCTGTTGTGGTGTCTGTGCAATTTATACTTAAACTGCTCACAATTAGGTGCTATTCTGAGATCTGCTTACAAGGGAATGCTCTGGAGATGAATCCCAAGCCAAAGATGTGCCTGGTTTGAATCATCATTTCGTAATATCTGCAATGTGGCTGAGGCAAAACCAGATACATCCTTGTGAAGATGCAAATTTTGAGACCATATCCATTTCCAGACATTGGTGTATCACCTAGTATAACTCACAGATAGGAATTACTACCCAATATTCTCACCATCACTGGCTTCAAGACCACAATTTCACAAGTGTTTGTAGAGTACCTACGCTCAGTAGTAACTCTAAAGAGATAAATACACCTTTAATCTACTGCCTGCGATAATGTTATGAGAAATCTAAGGACCAGAACATGAAACTGCACCTGAAAATTGTTTGAAATCATCCAGAAAGTGAAGAATTAAAGGAATTTTATTCTTGAGAACATTTGTATTGCAATGGTGCAAACCCAGCAGTTGGCAGTAGATGGAGTCCTTGTTTATGGGATCAGCCAGACTGGGAAAACGCTGCTGCTTCAGCTGCTCTGAATCAAGTAACTTTGCAAAGGCTCCTCTGGAGCTTTTAAGAGGTGCTGGATGCCCATAGCTGTGAAAGAATCCTCTGTTATACATATTATTAAGCACATATATATGTGCTTACTAATGAGGAGGAAAGCACCAGGCCTGGGATTCAAAATCTAAGCTTCTCATTATAAGGGAAACCTTCAATTTATGCAAAAAAAATCAGTTGTGACCAGAAGTTTCACAGCTGATTTGTTTGAACTTCTGTAATTTACATCCAAATGAAATCTCCCAGTGCAGCACAAACATAATTTGGAGGTATAGGAACAAAAGAATGCAAAGCTCATGATTCCTATGGAAACAAAAAGTTCCATCTCTGTGAGTGTGTGCACACTGAGATCATTCACAGTGAGACCATATCTTTCTAAAAGCAGTTGAGGAATTAGGGAGAATCCCAGAATTACTTTGAAGAAGTCCATCAGTGAGGACTAAATATGTGTCAGTGAAAAGAAAGCTCCCAACTATAACATTTAAAATATGAATAAAAGAACATAAAACAATTCCAGGTGAAAAAGAAGCCAAATTAAGGGATTCAATCCAGGGATTGACTAACAAAGAGCATCCCAGTGATGAGGATCCTCAAGAGCAGGTACAGCCCAATGTCTTAAGTGCAACTGAGTGCTGATACCTAAGTGTGTTTGTGCAAAAGCTTCTCTGCAGAATACACAACAGCATACACAAACCACATCAACTGGGTGATTAAATATGATCAAACATATCTAATAACATAAAGCAAATATGCCTTTTGGAGCAAACATTTGCCCACACTAACAACTGACAAGTGAAGGCAGTGCCAAGCACATCCCAGTTATTAGCTGTTGTAAGGGTATAATAGAGATAAAAATCTAATTTCAAGTATCTGCTCATAATTACACATGTGGATGACAATTGCAAGACAAAAGTAAGCAAAGAGAAAATCTCCTCCTGGTCCACGAGCAGCATCACTTAGGGGTGCTGACACTTACTTATAGGTGATGTTAAACCCTGTGAGGTTATAGGCAGCATCACTGAAGAAATGTAGAAGAGCATATCCAGAAGTAGCTACAACTTCAGGGACTGTTTCATTGCTGTCCTTCTCAGGAACAATAAGTCCACTGAAAAAGAGGAAAACCAACACAGAATAATGTTACAAATTAAAAGGGAGCAAAGCAACAAGAATAAATGCATCAGTGTTAACAAATTAACTGACACTAAGGTATTTATTGGCATTATTTGAAGTATAAAGGATTTGTGGCATCATAAATAAAAGTGTATTAGAAGTATTTAAACTGAACAAACCTGAACCTATCTAGAATTCCAGTTACTCCTATCAAAAACCTTTCCCTCCCTCATTATTCTGCAAAGACTGAAACAGAACCTACTCTAAAGTGGCATGTTTGGCAGCAGAAACTAGTGTCCCAAAAGCCTAAATCCTGCAGTACCAAGTCAAACTAAAGGTCTGCTGAGTCCAAGACTGCCTCCTGACTACAGGCTACAGCAAATGCTTGGGAAAGGCTGTGACAAATCAAGCAAGACCAGAGCATTTTGGTTCTGAGTTATCCAGCTGCCAGAAAGCACAGTTCAGGTGCTCTGACCTGGAGAATGCACCCAAGTCAGCACAGTTAAATAAACCATTCATCCGTGCTTCTATCCATTTCCTTTCTCAACCATTTATATCCTTTTCACCTGGAAAATCTGCAGGAGCAAGGTCAGAAATTTAACTCCACAGCAGCAGAGAAAGGATTCTACTCATTTTACACTCACTGCCTCTTGGGCTCCTTTTCTATGAGAAATATGGAATCACAGAATGGTTTGAGTTGGAATGGACCTTAAAGTTCATCTAGTTCAGCCTCCTGCCATGGGCAGGGACAACTTTCACTAGACCAAGTTGCTCCAAGCCCCATCCAACCTGGCATGGAACACTTCCAGGGATGGGGCAGCCACAGCTTCTCTGGACCACCTGTACCAGTGCCTCACCACCCTCACAGGGAAGAATT